ACAGTTGTTCGCCCTACAAAAAATGTAATTGGGGTTATAAGGTGTTTGTTTGTTATTAAGGACAAATCTACACAAAGGGCTACCTGTGCTCTGCCCACCACGGGTATCGAAACCCAGTTTCTAGCGGTATAAGTCCGCAGACATACCGGTGCGCTACTGACGGGGGTGGGGGGTTAAGATCTTCTTCTTTCTTTGCTACCATTGGTTAACCTGCAATGTGAACTTGAAAGGTAATGAATGTCACATTGAAGAGACATTCAATCTTGGTAACAAATTTGATGAAAATGAAATGTAACTTTTCGAATTAAACTGGTCACATGGACCCGGCATGACCAGGTGGTTAGGGCGCTTCACTCGCAATCTGAGGATCGCGGGTTCGAATCCCCGTCCCACTAAACATGCTCGCCCTTTCAGCCGTGGGTGCGTTGTAATGTGACGGCCAATCTCATTATTTGTTGGTAAAAGAGTAGCCCAAGAGTTGGTGGTGGGTGGTGATGACTAGCTGCCTTCTCTCTTGTCTATCACTGCTAAATTAGGGACAGCTAGCGCAGATAGCCCTCGTGTAGCTTTGCGCGAAAGCCAAAACAAACAAACGAACAAACTGTTCGCACATAGAGAAGTGAAAACATTATTTCCGCCATTGGGCAGAGAGTAAATATCACAAGAATGGAATGCATATCATAATAATTATCGCTGTATTAATACGCTCCATCAAGTTAAATGAAAAAATAGAAACACCTAAATGACTTCTGAGAAACGATAAGTGCGCAGTTAAAAATAGGTCTTTTTGAAACTACCGAAATCACAGTGTAATTAGTTTAATAATCACACGCCCCCTCCTGGTGAAACAACGGTAAGTTTACAGACTTACAACGCTAAAATCTGGGGTTCATTTCCCTGCAGTGGGCACAGCAGATAGCCCAATGTGGCTTTGCTTAAAAACAAACAAAATAATCACACACTCAATTTTTAGACTTTAACTACTGCCGGAGAAATATTCATGATAAGACGCATTAAGATATTATAAGTTTCAAAACAGCGATGTAACTTGATAAAAGAAAGCGTATATTTTTTCAATTAATATATCTTTTTTTTTCTTTGCTCATACTCATAAAAAAATTCTAACATTAAATAGGCTAGCGTTGCAGAGCGGCTGGAACTTACCGTCATTTTTGTCCAAGTTGTCAACCTCGTTGACGTACAGACCGGAGTAGACATCAATGCTGAGGTCTCGCACGTCCCGTTCCTCCTGTTTCAAGTCTTCCAGATTACCTTTCTCTTCCACACCACTCTCTCTCTTTCTTCGACGTTTCAATAAGTTTCCTCCCCAGGCATCACACTTAGGTGGCTGGAAAAGAAAAAAAAACCTTGTTTTTTTTCTACAATATTTCAGTTGTTGCATTGTAAACGAGTTGCAGAAGTAAGTTAACAATCGTACAGTATCTTACAATAAGAAACACAACTGTTCCTGTTCTATAGTAACTCCCACATCATGACCAGTCCAGCTATATCATTGAAAAACAATACACATCTTTAGACGTGGTAAATAAATTTAGTTGAAATATCCATCTTTTTACTGCTAATTGCGTAAAAGATATTAAGCCTAATTATAAAGCACTCCAGACACACATACACATATTGATAGAGGTATTCACTTCAGTGATACAGACAGTGGTCATGTGTGATTCACTAACAATTGTGACGCGAGTCACCGTAATCGTTTGGTCTTCTTTCTTCAAAATATCCTCTTTTCCTTTTGTCAAAGTGCACTCAGGCTGATTCAATTACTTTAGAACCACGCTTTGACGGAATAAATTATTATTCTTATCTCCTTTTCTACTGTTAGTCTTACTCTAAAATATTAAACGTTACGTCTATGTTAATAGTTCGGCCTATCACTTCTACGGTAGTTAACTTCACGCCGAACTTTTCCTTGTCCGTAACTTTACTTTCTTCTGTTATTGTCTGTCTGTTGTTTCCGCTCGTCTCACACTATTTATATGTTTATCACTTAATCGTCTGCCCACCTTCTAGAAATCTCTATACTCTCGACGTCAGTGTATTGCACGCGACGTTGGATAGTCTCAACATCAATGAATTATAAACACAACTTCCTACAATCGTTTGTTTTTAACTCTTCTTATGATAAAAACTGAACAACAATAAAATATTCACTCGCAAAATAAATTAATCAATAATATCTAAACTAAACAGTCTTTTATATCATGACAGATTTAATGTCGAATATTTAATAATGACTTTGCCTGTGACATATTTCTTTCCTAATGATAGTGAAGTAAATGGTACTCAAACTTTCCTAAATTTCTTACAAGTCGTTGGCATTTCATAAACAAACATAATTGGACAGCTAAAGCTAGTAAGATTTAAATTATAAATGTCAATGTTTGATACAACCTACCACATCATCACAGCCTCCACTCTCCTTCAAGCACAACTTCACGTTACATTGATAGTAGACGGAGGAAGTGTAGGGGAATTTATGAGCTTTGAAGGTCACTATCGCTCGGGTCTTGTTCAGGGTGTAGTCAAAAGGACCCATTATTTCGAGGTCCACTGGACACCTGAAATAAAGTTTAAAAAAGTGACGATTGTAAAAACTTACAAACCACTATACTTTAGGTTCCCCCTACTGAGTCAGCGGTAAGATTACGGACTTATAAAGCAAAAATCCGGAGTTTGATTTCACGTGGTGGACAGAGTGCGGGCAGCCTATTGTGTATCTTTATTCTAAAACAAATAATACTTTATTTTAGTCTACTCTAAACCACTTTCCCGAACTGTGGGTTCGGGAGTTGTTGATGAGAAGCGGGAAGTTGCAAAGATATACAACATTAACAATTTTCCTTTTTTTTTAAATATACTGAAATCCATCTAAACCCAATTGACGTTACCTTAATCGTTTTAATAACTTTTAAACATTTTAGTATCTGATGTTATAATCAAGTTGGACGACTCACGAGTATGAAAACCATGATAAGCAAAAGTGTGACAGATCCTGCTCTAGACGATATATAATTTCACGAGTTTTTGCCAATCTGTATTATAATTGATAAATCACTGTGTATTGTTGTGTCAGCGAGGTCACGTGACTAGTATCACGCCACGTCCTTCTATAAATATCCTGTTCCTTCATGAATGCTCTAGCGTTTACTAGATATGTGTTAGTCTAGTATATATAAGACGGTCACAAAGTGACGGGAACAATATGTGTGTAATTGAACTGCAGGGGTAATGAGTAAGAATATTGTTGAGCACGTGAGAAGTTCGTTGCGAGTTATAGCGTTTGTTATAGAGCGACTGTTGAAATTAAGTGTATCGTAAAGTTGTATTCGGAAAGAATAAACCAGTTTTATTTAAGAAAGGACTTGTGTCGCTAAAGTTTCGTCGGAACGAATTTTCGGAAAATTACCTAACGAACGGAAACGTAACAGTATGTTAATAGTGTATGTTGTAGTCCACAACATGCATATAAGTGACGTAAACGTTTCATAACCTGTGTGGAGACACGTATAATAGTGTACTGTTAGGCCTATGCATTAACACAATACATGAGATACTTATACTATTGTACTGTTAGGCCTATAAATAAACACGATACGTGAGACACGTATAATAGTGTAATGTTAGGCCTATGAATTAACATATCTAAAAACAATAGGGAAATCTATCTTCATCTTAAAGCGATAGGGGTTTTAGTACTTTTTGTTTATGTGATTAAAACTTTTTTTATCCCACGTGTTTTTAGTTATCTCGAAAGTTTTGCTGTTTATTTTCTGCAATTTATTAGGTGTCGTTGTCGGAAAGTGCTAACGCTACGCAGGTATATAAACATGTTTCCTAGATGTTTCATAACGGATGTGACATCTTATCATATTGTATGTGCATTTGACGTTATCCTATTGGGTTATTAAAGTTAATAACAAGTTAAAATAGGACGTAGTCAAGAAACAAGCGTTAAAAGAGACTGGAATGCTTCACTAAGTTAACTCTGATAAATTCAATACAAATTGCAAGTAAATTGAAAAAAAAATGTTTCGTAGTGAGCGTGGAAGAAATATTGCTTTATCTTACAAGTTACAGAGTGCGTTTCCTCACTACGCTTTATTTTATCTGTTCTTACTGGTTTTAATTTATACTTTAGGACGCTTCAAAATATTCCTCTTCTCATTGAGTCACACATTGAAATTAAACTTTAAAAAGTATTCATGGACACCTAGCGGTTAAGAAGCGACTAATAAAATTCTTGCTCCTCTACATGACTTTAACCCTCTCTTGCATATTGTGACGTAAAGGTAAGTAATTTGTCTTTGTTGCTTAATACACATACGAATGCTTCAATTCTGTAGTTAACTGCTCTTACTTCCAGGAAACAGTCAAAATAAACCATGGAATTATTTTTCTTGGTTACTTAATTAAATAATGTTACTTCCTTGTAACGTACCAATTTATAACTTACCAAAATATAATTCACACCAGCCCTTTTGTGTAATATAGACCGACCTATTTAAAAAGAAATTCAAGAAAAAAATGTTTTCCATCGTATTTTAATAGTGCGTTCAATAGAGGGTTAAATACGATTAAAGTAATCAGCCATAAGCTCGTAGTTTTTATTTTTTTCCACGAACATGTCCAAGAAAACAATTATTTATGTAAATTTAAATATACATACACATTTATATATATTAGCGTATATCTTGTCAAAAATGACAGGGCAAATACTACCTTCCCACCCCACAGTATACCCTAACCTTATATTTCATAGCTAACTGAAATAAATAAATTTTGCGAAATGAAGCTTGACCAACAAAGAGACAGATAAGTACAGTCGAGGCAGTCAAACGTCGGTAAATTCCCTTGTGAGCCAGTCACAATTAAGATCATTCATTTAATGAATTCGTGGCGTATTCATAGAATAATTATTGGTAAAAAATCAGTTAGATTAACAACTTCTAATACATAGAAAAGCCAGTGCGTTTTGGTAGCACTACATTCCAACAATGGTTTGATGTCATGTTGCTTAGCAATAAAAGTATAACCTAATAT